TTCCTTAGCAAAATTTTTATCAATCTTAATTAAATTAATCATATTTATTATATATTAATATCATTGTAATTATTAATTAATTGCATATAATTAAATTAATAAAATACTAAAGCAAAAGCAAGGGCCCAACCGAGAGATTATTCTGTACGACATCGAACGCAGTTCATCATCCGGAAACCAATCAGAATGTGTCACGTCAGTAGTACCGAGCTGAATACTAAATAAGAGGTGACGTGACACATTCTAATTGATCTTCAAACACTTTCAACGTCCACACAAAATAATTTGACCAACCCAACCAGAGTGGAGTGAGAGAAATTTGAATGATTCTCTATGGACATGATAATTTGCCCTTCTGTTTCAAGTCTTTTTTTTCTATGCTCTTCCTGTAACCTAGGCCTGCATAGGGGTTGCTTCTCTTGGTCTCCATGTTGCTTGCCGCTTCAGCTTCCCGTGTTGCGGGGTGAAGTTTTGAAAGAGTTGAAGCTGCTTCGCCCTCTTCGACAACATCGTTCCTGTTGGATCGGAAGTCATAATGGTAGCTCGCCATGAAGGTGACCATCTTTCACCTCTTTTTGTGAGCTTCTGCAGCTATGTCCCTTTAACAATGGGATTCATTAAATCCAAAATTTAGGAAAACTATGAAAACGCAGTGATATGGGAATTAACTTACCATGATATTTGAGCAGGCGTTTGGCAAGATTTAACTCAAATCCCGCTTAAATCATGCATCCAAATTTTAGAAACCTTTCACCAGACTTGCACTAAATCTGATAGTCAAAACTATTCATATAGAATGAAGAACATAATGGATAGCGGTAGCATAAAACTGTTTCTCTATTCCATTGAACAATAACACAAGCTGCTCAATGCAAAAAGTTATATATAATTTGAAGTTAGTTATCAACAGACGGTGAGATGAAGATCAATTGGAGACTAGCGGCTGGATGAACTATGACAATAAAGTGTTTAGTACAGCAGGTGTCATGACAATATGGTGTAACTTTATATTTTTTACATAGGCAGGTTATATATGCAATCATGTATTGGAAACATAACCCATCTTATTGTTCTGCCATCATTTTTTTTTTCCAATTGGGCTAATCATGATAGAGGAAGAGAAGAGAAGAGCTTGGAAGGGTTGGGATTAGCACTTCCACATAAGATCCATGTTGCCTCGAGTGATACCCAGCTCAAGGAGATTTTACTAAACATTAAAACCTCCAAAACACTTGTGAGTCTTGAGTTTTCTCCTACTTTCTTTAACGTTTGGAGTAGTTATCCTTAATAACTACTTTAAATTAATGAGATATTGAATTTTTTTGTTTAGGCTATTATAAACTATGGGGCTTCATGGTATGATCTTATTTTCACCTTTCGTTGTTTCGTATTTTGAAAATTTTAAGAAATTTTAAGGTTTATTATCTTATGTTGGAAATTAAAGCTGCTTATCTAATTTGTTATTTTTAGTGAGATTGCCTTAGAACCATTTTTCAATAATGTTTCATGAATTTAAGTTCAATTGTTGAGGCAAGTTATTATGCTTCTTAGTTCAAAGGGTAAAGGATATTTAAGGAGATGATTGAGCACTTTCTAATGCTTTCATGTTCAATTAAATCAATTTCATTCCCCACAAATCCATGATGGAGCAATTTCTCATGTTTTCATGTTCACTTTAAATCAACTCCATTCCATCGAAACTAAGAGATTTTTAATTAATATGAAGGTTCAAAACTACCAGGTGATTTAGGAGTTGGAACTGTGGTAATCAACCGATCAACTTATATACTTCTCATGTTATAAGAGATACATGACCAGAAGCTAGGGCCTATGACTCCTTTGCGTAATGGAACTATGTGAATTGAAGTTCGGGCAGGTTAATAAGTCTTATATGAGCCTCTCAACTGCCATCTTTGAGTTCTTTGGAGGCTTATCTATTCAACGCCTTGTCTACTTGATAGATTATCACCATAACTAATATCATCCTCATCATTATTTATGCTTTTGAATTCAATATATAACATGTTTGCTACGTGTGCATGGAAGGGCTAGAAATATTTGAGTTGTAGGGTTGTGTACTTCTCATGCTCCATCAATATGTAGGAACCTTTTATATTCTAGAGCTTCTCAAAGAGGTAGGCTTACTCTTTCCGTTGAATTGAGCTCCTTTGGATTGGAGAGTTGTTGTCGAAAGCATCTCCTTGATACAAAATAGGTCAAACATACTAGTTTGTACTCTGTCATTTGGATAACTCAGAGTTAAAAGCTTACTTCCTTGTTAGAGGAACTTAGAAAGTCTCATCTCCTCTATATTATGGACTTAACAACTTATTGCTTCTCAGAGGTGCTGAGTTATGGTAGTGACCACTAATATGACTTCATAAGCTGAAGAGTTAGTTGTCCCCTCTTGCCTTAGAATATATTCCATCCTTGTTTTAAAGAGGGGATCTGTAAAACCCGAAATTCGTCATTTAAGTGCGTCGCACGCATATGGCTTATATGAAGATTAGTGGCGTTTGTTTCATTCGTGTTTCAAGTTCATACAATTATACTTTATGTTTTAAAAGTTGTAGAAGTTATGGTTTATTTGCCTGTCCGATCTCGTTCCCGCCTCGTCCATACGAGCTAACCGGGCCGGATCGTGACAGGATCAAGATATGAATTTGAATTTAAATTGTCCTAGAAACATCACCTTTTAATTGAAGGTGCTTGCCAGCACTCTTTAGTTAGAGGGGAATGTGATATTCCTAGTCATCTTCATTATTGTTGTTTAGTGAGAATGACCATATTGGATTGGGGGAAAATTTTTGTAAAACATTAAAGCCATCTTGTTTGCTGCCTTCTTTGGTGGCTGCGGACTTCACAATCAACGCCATAACTTCTTACAATTGCACAGGAAGGGTCCCGTTAAATAGAAAATTTTTATGGCATTTGCAGTTACATAGACTGAAAAGAATTGCATATTATCATCTACTTGGTGCTCCTCTGCTTTGGAGATGAATTATACAAAGAGATCTAAATGAGATATGAAAATAAAAATGTGGAACTTAGCCTCTGTATAGATCTTGCCGAATTTGAGTTGTAGGATGAAAGAACCTAGGTTCATTTGCTTGATAAAGCTTTGTTGGGGCACCTTATCTCTTCCAAGGTGCTATATGTTAAGAGACAATCATCGTAATGCTTTCATGCTTATAGTTATTGAATGCAGAGTCATGCTCTAATGATTAATAAAATTTACCTTCTTTTGGATGACATTGCTTTTTGTTATAACATAGAGAAGTTAGCTATTTTCCGCGATCTCTACCAGATGATTTTGATCAAATAATAGGATGACAATAGCATTTTAGGCATAGAGAGCCTTGATTAAGAATTACTGAATAAAATGTGTAGAAGGGTTTTGACGAGTCTTCCATAGATTCCTTGATTCTGATAGGGCTTCCTAGATGCTTAATTACATAAGTTTTCATGTCTAGGTGATGATACTTTATTCTAAGGCTGCAAGCAAACAAGCATTCGACGAGCCACTCGTTATTCGGTTCGATTAAAGCTCGTTTGTGATCGTTTAATTAACTAAACAAACAAACATAAAAAATATTTTAAATACTAGATTCTTAAATAAATAAACTTGAACACTAATGCGTTCGGCTCATTTATGTTCGTGAACAACATCATTTGAAGCTCGTGAACAAGCTCAACATTAAGCTCTATAAGAAGCTCAAATTCGTGTTCGATTTTGAACTCATGAATATGCTCAATAAAAATGGTCATGCACAAGAATCTTTGCTGGTCTTGCAATCCTTTAGTGACATTTATGAAGGGCCATTCCTGGAGACTATTTATGTTCCCTTTGCTGGTCTTGCAATCCTTTCGTGGACACTAGTTATTAGTGGATCAATGATTGCTGCAATTATTTGTAGCTTCTTTCTAGGGCTCTATGGTATAATCATTTTTTATGAGGTATCAGATATTACTAAACTTGTTGTGTAAATAATTGTAGGTTTATATGGATATTTATTTATAAATTAATGCCTTTGTTGCTGCTGTTATGAAAATTATGTGAAGATGGGATTTGCTTATAAATCATTGGCTTTGTTATATAGACAATTGCTTTTATTATACATGTATTTGTTCATAGATATGTTCATGAACGTGTTTGTTTGATAGTTTAAAAAATTTTGTTAAATATGTTCACGAACATGCTCAATGTAATCGTTTGTTATGAAGCTCGATAAAGCTCATTTGTTAAGTTAATGAGCATCTAAAAGTAGAGCTCGTTTATAGCTCGTTCATGATTGTTTGTTTAAAGATCGATAAGCACTAAACAAATCTTGTAGGTTGTTGTTCTTCGATGACGTCCGCCAAAGTAAAGAGAATACACTCCACGCATTCTTCGATGGTGCCTTCAGACCCAAATTCGAGATCGAAGAATGGTGATTGAATGATGTTGACTTCCTCTTGAAAATCATAAATGAATCCATGATCAACTTTTGGATCCGCCATGCATTCTTGCCAGGAGATGAGGGAGCACCAATAGAGAGAAGAGGGAGAGGAGGTGGCGGTTGGAGAGGATGGTGTTGGGCTGGCTTGAAGAATAGGAGGGGATCAGCTAGATTGGCTTGGAGGAAATTTAGAAACCTGAAATTAAATTTAGGCTTAAGTGAAATTGGAGGGAATTAATTTGAAAGTCAAATTAATCCATTAAAGACTAGGGGCGGCAAGGGAGGAGGGGATCGGGGCTGATTTAGTGGGGGAATTGGGATAAAATTGGGAGGGTGAAAAGTCAAAAATTTGAGATTAATTCTCATATTTAGTGAAGTTGGAGGGAAGGATTTGAATTTGAATTCAAATTCAAATAAAAGGATTAATGGGAGGTGAGGAATTATGGGAGGTAATTAGAGAGTCTTGATTGAGGGCAATTAATGACAATTGGAGAGAGGGAAGCAAGGGGAAGGGGACCGACCATGTAGTGAAGGGAGAGAGCGAGTTTTAAGTTAATTATGTGGGACCCAAACAATATTCAAAGCATTAAAGAAAATTTGAATTAAAATTCAGATTTTATTTCAAAGAGGGGTTTCCAAAATTAAGTTATAGTATTTGGAAATCTTTTGAATTTCAAATTTGAATTGAAATTCATTTAAGTAACTTTCCTAATTTCTTGGACTTAATTTAGGAAAGCAATTAATGCCTCTTTGAAATTTGAATCTCAAGTGCTTAAGCTTGGGGGAAAGGTGGGCCGGCGGGTGTGGAGGGTTGGAGGCTGGTGGCTAAATGGACGGCCGGCGGATGGGGGAAATATCCGGCCACTTGGGTGTCCCAAGGAGGCCGGCGGCAAAGGTGGGAGGGGCTTGGGTTTTCCACAAGAAGCTTGAGGGTGGTGAGGCGGTCGGTGGGAGGTTTAGGAGGGGTAAATTGGTGCAAGGGAAGAAAAAAAAAAGAAATTAAAGAACCGCGAACCTTGGAATCCACCAAGATTGACGGGTATTGCTGTCACCCACTAAGGGTTTCTCCTCTCAAGAACTCACAAATAGATCTAGCAAGAATGTGGAATTCTCATTCATAATCATAATTAGAAAATAATACAAAGACTAGGCCTTCATATATAGGCCTCTAAAGCACAAAATGTAAAAGACACAAATAACCTCAGGCTACAACATGACACAAATCCCTCATAGGGGTACAAATGGAAAACTAAAAATAAATAAAAGAGATGCACTAAAACACATAAATAAAAACTATGAATCGTAGCCGTCGATCTACGATCCTGCCGATGTCGAAATGTATGGTGGATATCCTCATCATTAATTCTAGTATTTAAAATTTTTTACTTATTTAAAACATAAAAATTAAATTTCTTATTTCCTATACACAACACTAACTCAATTACCCGCACTTAATACCCTATTCATTGAAAATTTTCATTTTTATTTCTCTTTGGCGGGTTACAACTTTGATTTCACAATAATGTCTAATGTCATCTCAACATCGACGTCATTACAACATCAACATTTCAAAACAATTTACATATTAAAGTCTGACGCCCTCTTAACATTGATGATAAATTCTCTTCTTAACATTGACGTCCAATATTTACTGCAAAACATCAATGTCCGACTATAAACAACATTTTCATCTTCTCTCTTGATGACTGATAAACGACATCAATATCCGACTCTCGACATCCTAATATTAATCATATTAAGCACAAATTCTAATTAAATGATTTATTATTTCAAAATTATTTTTAAAATGATACTTATTCAATTTTTATACACAATTTTTAAAATATAAAAACAATAACACTGTCTCCAACCTGTGTCCGTGTCTGTGCATCATAGTTTAGGAGACTATGTAAACTAATTTAGTGGATTCCATCCAATCATAATCTTTACCTGAGGTCATCATAGCTGAGAATTAGCATTCATCACTCATCAGTACTCTTATAATATTCATTTAGCAACACATTTTTTTATATAAATATTCGGGTTCTTTGCACTGTAGTGATTTCCCTTTATCTATCATCCTGGTTGGAGTTGGAGATGGGCCTTGGGACATGATGAAAGAGTTTGATGACAATATTCCGGCAAGATCTTTTGATAATTTCCAGGCAAGTACTTTATTTAAAAAAGAACAAGGATTAATGCATTTATTATTAAAAGTTGTATCACTTTTTTTATACTTCCCAAAAGAAAAAAAAATATTTACTTGACAGCATTTTTTACAGTTTGTGAATTTCACTGAAATCGTGTCAAAGAAAATTGATCAGAGAAGAAAATATATGGAGTTTGCTCTTGATGCTCTGATGGAAATTCCTTCACAATACAATGCAACATTGGATCATGGGATATTGGGGTATGAAATAGTTACTTTAAAAAATAATTTTGCATAATCCTCTTTAGTGGTTTGTGATTTACATTTGCATGTTTATTTAGTCGTAGGAGCGGTAAATCTCTAAAAATGGTCGCTCTTCCTCCACCTATAGGAACTTTCAGTTTATCATCCACTGGTTACCAAAATTTTCATTCGACCCCTTTCCAACGAAGTGAGCCATTCCTTCCCTCATATGAGCCTCGGTCAAGCACATCCCCACCTGCTCAGGTTTCCTCATTTGATGATAAGGTATGGAGCGTGAATGACTTAATGTGTTCCATTTGAAACATCCAAGACATGATAGATATTAGAGAAATGCTTAGACTATGTTGCACCGATACACCTATTTATGAAAGCATGTTGTATTGGATATGTGTTGGACATGATACGCGTCCAATACGGCACCGATACGTGTTGGATACGTCAAACCGTATCCAATTAAGATAGTATTAATTTCAAAAGGATACACATGTCCATTTAAAGATTAAAAAAAACCCAAAAAAAGATGCGTCATATTTACTTTCGCGGCTGCGAGCGAGGTTCTCTCATTTTCAAACTCGCGAGCCATTTACATTGATGTTAGTTTACTAGAAAATATGATATTAGGGCATCAATTATTTTGTATTTTTAATACTTTTATTTTTTATTCATGTATTAAAAAAATCATGTTATTGTGGTTTGTATGTCTTCTTAAATGAAAATAAAAGAAGAAGTTTTAATTAGTGGAATCATGCCACCAAATCATGCAACATTATAATTAGTGGAATCAAGCCACAAAATTCATATTAGGCAATGAGTTTTAACTCTTCCCTTGACTCAATAGGCATTCAGTTTTAACTCTTCCCTTACTCAATGCTAACTTTTATTTTGATATTATAAGCTACAAGGCTACAAATGATGTTGCTATTATTTTTTTTGCTATTTCAAATATTATGCTTTGATTTCTTTCTTAATTTTTATGTATGGTTTATAAATTATAATGACGTGTCCGTGCCGTACCCGTATCCTATATTTTTAAAAATTGAAGTGTCCCATATCCATATTGTGTCATATCTTAATTTTTATGTCATTGTGTCCGTATCGGTGCAACATAGTGCTTAGATAATAAAAAATGGCCAAAACAGCATCTTGTGAACGTGGGAATGTTTAGGTACAGGAGTTGATCAGCCGGTGTGACATTTTGGTTATAGAACTAGTTTAGAATCAGTTTCATATCATTGTTTCTTGGGCAGGTGTGTCCAATATGCCTAACAAACCCCAAGGATATGTCGTTCGGCTGTGGGCATCAGGTGAAAAGCCATCAACGCTCTATCTACTTTATCTACTTTTGCTCTTCTTTATTCTGAAGATTAACGGTGCCATCTCCGCTCTATCTTCCTTAGTAGACGTGCTAGGATTGTGGACCAAATCTTCAAACATGTCCAATTTGCTGATGTGAGATTCATACGAGAATAAAGCTCTTTTAACACCAAAAATCCTGCTTGAAGACAGACCATTTGTAGATTTCCAGAGAAATGTATTATATTGTTATATTTCTGTGTTTGGTTGTTTTTTTATCTGCAAAAAACTCAGAATTGGAAGAGCCGGTCTTTTGTTATCTTCTTCCTCATCAAATTGCTGGCATGGAGCATTGTAACATATAAGATGCACGGATTAATTGTTTGGTTCTTTAGTCAATAATTTTCTCCATGAAGATCACCATCAAATTGTAATTTATTTTTGTGGAATATTTTGTTCCATTGTGAAAAGGATGTCTACTTCATCACAGTTCCCTTGCATATATCCTACAGATGCTCTATTGAAAAGTGACTCAACTATTTGAATGAAATTATAGGCATGCAGGTGAGTGCTGAATCGACAAAAAATAGCATTTCTCATTTCAGTGGGAGAAATGCTCCACAAGCTGGAAAGGATTAACTCAGTAATGGTGAAAAGTTTCATAAACTTGAGAAAATCACATTTTATTTAATATCTACTTGTACAAATGTTGAAAATGAAATCAGAAGTAGAATATTAGGAGTCTATCTTGAGTAGAATATTTTTTTTAGCAGGCCTGATAAATTTATCCAGCGCCGCTATTTTTGAAATCTAGCCTCACTCTCTTCTTCTCTCTCATTCTCTCTCCTTTGTTCCTTCTCCAGTAGTAGAATGGTGGGGAAATAGGATTTAGAAGATTCTTTTAGATGTTTATATATACATATATATCATTTCTGACATAGTGATGCGGCACTCCTTTAGCATTGTTACGCATAGCGCCAGTACGCTCCCTTACCTAAATTATCCTAAATAGAAAGGGTAGCACCGTAGCGTTCCTAAAAGGCTTTCAGCTCTTGACTTTAGCTACTATTTTTTTATTTAACCTTAGACTCTTTTATGCTTTCATAAACATTCATAAATTGAAATTTTACAAACACTTAATATATAATATATATAAAAGTATACAAACTTTTTACTAGGTTTGAATCTGCAGGTTGATTTGTTTATGTATCTTAATAATGCCAAGTAGGAGTGGGCGAGTTTGTGAGCCATGATCCTCCTGTGTTGAACAGTTGCTCTCAAGATATCGGAAACGACAATAAAGTCTAGTGGCGGGACAACAAAGAAAGTGGATTAATTATTCTTCGGGCCTATCTCCCTCTCTGTCCTCAATGGAAGGACCACAATAATGACACAACATTAAAAAAAAGGGGGGAAAAAAAAATCTATTTTTAGGCTTGTGACATGCTTCAAAAATAGAAGTAGAAACACATGTCTCAAGCGACTTAGTATTCGACATGCAGATCTCCGCCTTCCTAGGTCGTCCAACTCCAACTGAACTGACTCATGTTCAATTGATCAGCATAGGTGTACAAAAGGCCTATGATCCCTCTGGTCTGATCGTAAAGAGAGATCAGGTCTTCCACTCTTGCTTATCATGCCCCACATGAGTGGAAACTTTCAGCTCTTTCCAAACACATGTAGGGAGGAGATCTCGATCAACTCTAAACGTCACACGAATGAGGATCCCTCCCTCTCGATCTCTCCTCGGTCTTGGACGCACAAAGATAGCATAAGGACAAATATTTCTTAGAATTCTGATAATGAAGGTCGGTGGAAAGACCAATATTCTTCAGAATTCTGGCAATGATGTCATATGGTGGTAATCTATATTGTTCAGAGTTATAGTAATGAAGGATGGTGGTGGGAACATCTAGCATCAGAATTTTGATAATGAAGGCTAGTGGTGGGAATCTATTTTCTTCAGAACTCCAATAATAAAGGCTAATGGTGGGAACCTGTATTCCTTAGAATTCCTATAAAGACGTTTGATGGAAGGAATAATATTCCTTAGATTTCCGACAATGAAGGTCGGTGATGGGAACATGTATTCCTTATAATTCTAAGAATGAAGGTCGATGGTGGAAACCTGTGTCGGCAAGCATGCCAGCAAGTTTGATATAGATGTGGAGGACACCAGAAATTTCAGGGATAAATGAAAACTATCCAGACACATAATCTCTCATCATGTATAGTCGTATGGTCTCTCGTCCATACATAAGCTCTTGCTTGGCTCCTCTCGGTTCCTCCCTAGACACATGTGAGAGGAGGCTACTACAAGAAACAAGCTTCAAGGACGCACGATCTCACTTGGTTTTTGAAATACTCCTCTCTCGTCCTATTCGGTCTCACGCACACATAAGGGGTTCACAATACGTTCTTATTTCTTGATCGAATGCAGAGACCGTGGGATGAAGCATTCTCCCTCCTCTTCAGTTTGACGTACGCAAGAACGAACAAGCAAAAAACTCATTCCCTTTCATTTTTAAAGGGAAGGCCCGCCTTCCGACCTTCCCTTCAGAAAGTTCGGTAGTTAGAAAAATACAAAATTCTAGCCACGACGATGAAGACTCTGATACCATGTTAAATTTAGAGAATTTGAGAAGGAAAAAGTTTAATTTTGTTAGACAAAACTATCCCTATTTATAGATATGTACTTGATATCTTAATAAAGAAACATATATTTATATAATCATGCATAATTGCCTTGATATAATCCTTCCTAAAATTGCCACCCAAATATGAAAGGAGATCAGCGTGAATCAGGTGAGCCTCCCATGGATTCCTATCTGGCTGTGGGAGTAAGTGTCATGGGACAGCTGAGATTTAACAAAGATTGACATGATCCAAGTGAGCCTCCCACGATTCCCCTCTTAGCCATGGGATCAAGTGTTAGTGACGACTGGGATTTAACATTGATTGGTGTGATCCAGGTGAGCCCTCCATAAATTCTCATTATGGATGTGGGATCAAGTGTCAAGGGATAGCTGAGATTTTAGCACATCCAAATGGAGACAATCAACCCCCTTTAAAAGGAAGATTGAAGCATTCCAATAAGTATTGCAAATCTAAGGTATCACTCATAACTCTGCTTGTGTAGGATGATTTGGTATTCATGATAGAGAAAATATTGGACCGTATAAAAGAAAAAATAGTTCTCTTATATAGGACAGTGTCGAACCTTCTTTAAGAGAAGAAATTGGAATCTACAAAAGAGAATTGAGGTATGTAGATTTTCCCATAATTTTGCCTATGCATAATAGCATCAAATCTTTTTTAGAAGATGGAACTTTAACCTACAAAGGAAAAATTAAGAAAATCTAGCTTTTCCCACAACTTCACCCATGAAGGATGATTTGACACTCTTGATATAGAAATACTAGAGCCTATAAGGGGATTACTTCACCTATATAGGATAGCGTCAAACCTCTTTTAGGAGACAACCAAAACATACAAAGGAGAAATTAAGAGATGTAGAGTTTTCTCATAACTCAACCTCTGAAGGACAACTTGGTACTCATCATAGAGAAGCTATTAGAGCTTGTAAAGGGTGAATACTTTGCTTATTAACATCAAGTCCTTCTTAATAGAAGGAACTATAACCCTAAAAAAATAAATTTAGAAGAGTATTTCCCCTTTCAAATGGGATAAAATTTATACTTGAAGAGGTAAAAACTTTCTCTCTTTAAAAAAAAAATTAAGAGATTTTTTTTAAAAAATAATTTTGATAGTTTTTTAGAGTTTAAATAACTTCATTAAGTTTTAGAGTTTAAATAACTTCATTAAGTTTTAGAGTTTAAATAACTTCATTAAGATCTAAAATCAAATATATGGAGTGTAATTTTTATAGTAATAGATCTAGTGGGAGATTGTGACTTTGGATGATCAACTTATTAATAAGAGTATACATTTTAGATATCTTGGGTCAATTGTTCAGAGTGATGGTGAAATAAAATAGAGATATTATTAGTAGAATTCAAGTTGGATGGTAGAAGTGGAGGAATGCATTAGGTTGCTTGTGTGATAAAAAAGTCCTCCTCAAACTTAAGATAAAATTATATAAGATAGTGGTGAGACTTGCAATGCTTTATGGTGCAGAATGTTGGCTATTAAAAGAGAAGCATAATATTAAGTTAAGTGTTGCAGAGATGAGAATGCTTAGGTGCATTAGTGCTTTACTTATAGAAACATGATACGAAACAAGCATATATGGGAAAAAGTTGGAGTAGCTCAAGTGGAAGATAAAATTAGAGATAGTCGCATAAGATATTTTGGCCACATAAAATAATAGCCTTTCGATGACTCGATTAAAAGAGTAGATATATTAAATTTGACTTATGTTAAGAAAGGTAGAGGTAGAACTATAAAAGACTTGGTTTCAAAATATTAGAAATGACTTTTTTTAATGAGAATTTGACTCCTAACAGGACACAATAGAGAAAAATGATTCATGTAGCCGACCTCATGTAGTGGGATAAAGGCTTTATGTTGTTGTCACTTTCATACTAGGCCCATGACACTTTTGTTATTGTTGCTCTCCTGCAGGGTCCATGACCCTTGCATAGTGCGCAACAAAAATAGGGCCCCAATCTAAGTCCAAATAAACCACAATCGAACACTTAAATATATTAGAAAACTTTAGGATATTAATTAAAGGACAAAACAATCTTCTAAACATGCAATCTTCTAATCAAATCAAGTGATTTAACGAGCTGAATCCAACAACCTAAAATTAATTTATTGATTCTAGGGTTTTTATGTCACTTAAATGCTGAACAAATAATTTATAATCAAAATATTAAAATGAGCCATCCGATTGTGTATTATAGAATTTTTGTCAAGTTTATCCAAATATTACTTCAAAAATACTATAAGTAGACTCACATTCTCCATATTTAAAGGAGATCTTGACTTAAGATGAGAGAGAGCTTGAATATATGATTAACTTTAAAGCGCTTATTGAAGTATGATGTCGACTATCACACCAGCCAATATCATTGTCAGATTGCTATTTCCTAACTATCGCCATCCAACTAACATTGGTTGATCATCAATGCTTGCCCATTACCATTTGACCATCATAGATTATTTACCATCATTCAGTTAACATTATATGACTACTATCATCTGACAACATTTACCTTCTCATCATCACTTAACCATTGTTTCTCGACTGACATCATTTGACTGTATCATTCATGAATGATTTCTCACATGATATTTATTATAACTACATAATACCAAACAAGTGCTCCAAACCTAGTAGTCCCATCTTCTCCAATTATAGAGAAGAGCAGACTTCTATAGCTTTAAGTATATAGTTGATTGATTCAACTGGATTAGATGACATAATTTTTTTTCGGAATTTTCATAAAAATTATGTTGTCTCTTATATTGTTCTATTTTTATTTCTC